CAGGCTGAATCTAATTCCATTGCACTATTGGAAGGCCGCTACTCCCTGCCCGACCTTCTTGACCCCGCCACTACGGCCTTCCTTTCACATTGCCGTTTTCACAAGGATCACTTACCTGTGCACCTTGAGGTGACTACCTCCGATCATGTGTACTTCTGGTCCCGAAATCCGGAGAACAAAGGCTCCGAACCTCACGGCTTGCACAACGGTCACTTCAAGGCGGCGGCCCAGTCACCAGTTATTGCCTATTGTGATGCCCTTTTTCGTAATGTCATTGAGGCTGGCAATACAGTACATCACTCGGGTGAAGCTATATGTGCGTCGGTGCAGGAGGCCGCCACTCTGTGGGCTGGGGGAATCCGTGCCACTGGCGGTGCGATCAATCCCGAGAAGTCCTTTTGGTGGCTCATTGATTTTGAGTGGGACTCCCGCACAGGTAAATGGAAATTCCGGGGGAAAAAGGCAGTCGCTCTCGACTTTGAACTCCAAATTCAAGGTCTTTCAGGTTCTACTGAATCCTTGCGTCGCCTTGAACCAGACGACTTGGAACGCACTTTGGGAGTTATGCTTTCTCCCTTGGAAAACCTGGAGGCTCACAAGGCTCAGATGGTTGCTAAAGCCAAGGATTGGGCAGAACAACTTTGACCTAACCTGCTTCACAAATATGATGTCCTCCCCCTCATCAAGTCGACCATCATGAAGAAATTGGAGTATCCGATGGCGCTAACAACCCTGGAGGCCCAGCAATGGACAGACATTATGTCTCCCGGTACTTCAAGTGTGCCTTCCAAAGGCAGGTGTCTGTTGTAATTTCCCTCGGGATGTCGTATTTGCTCCGCTGTCCTATCAGGGTCTTGGACTTCCACATCCGTTTGGTTGTCAAGTGTTTAAGCATCTTGAGATGTTGCTCCGACATATGGCCAACAGGACCAAAACTGGTGACTATATGGAGGCCAACATCCAAGCCCATCAACTTGAAACGGGGACGTCCTTTGGACTTTTGCAACAAGCCTACACCAACACGGCGATCCTCACTTCAGACACGTGAATGAAACGAGTATGGCATGAGCTCGAAGGTTTGGACATCCATGTCGCCTATGACTCTCCAGCCCTCACCCTTCGCTGTACCGACGACTCCCTTCTGATGGATCTCTTCATCAACTTGGAGGTTGAACAGGAGGAACTTTTATGGCTCAATTGGTGTCGAATGTTCCTCCAGGTGTGCACAGTGTCTGACATTGTGACTGCTGATGGCAGGTTCATTCGTCGCTCCGCGTGGAATGGGCTCAGGGATGAGTGCTGCCGCTCGCCATACCAATTGCCAAGGACACTTTGCCCAACAAGGCAACACTGGGACCTGCGGCAGACCACCTTGTCCAGAGCCCTACTTGCCTCCAACGGGCCACATCACCCACTACAACAGCCCTTGGGGCCATGGACTGACCGTCTGGAGGACTGGAATTGGTTACTGTCACCCACCACAGGCCTTTTCCACCGCCATGGGGCAACCTGGA